TAGATAGATAGATAGATAGATGATAGATAGATAGATAGATAGATAGATAGATAGATAGATAGATAGATAGATAGATAGATAGATAGATAGATAGATAGATAGATAGATAGATAGATAGATAGATAGATAGATAGATAGATAGATAGATAGATAGATAGATAGATAGATAGATAGATAGATAGATAGATAGATGATAGATAGATAGATAGATAGATAGATAGATAGATAGATAGATAGATAGATAGATAGATAGATAGATAGATAGATAGATAGATAGATAGATAGATAGATAGATAGATAGATGATAGATAGATAGATAGATAGATAGATAGATAGATGATAGATAGATAGATATATAGATAGATAGATAGATGATAGATAGATAGATAGATAGATAGATAGATAGATAGATAGATAGATAGATAGATAGATAGATAGATAGATAGATAGATAGATAGATAGATAGATAGATAGATAGATAGATAGATAGATAGATAGATAGATAGATAGATAGATAGATAGATAGATAGATAGATAGATAGATAGATAGATAGATAGATAGATAGATAGATAGATATATAGATAGATAGATAGATAGATAGATAGATAGATAGATATATAGATAGATAGATAGATAGATAGATAGATAGATAGATAGATATATAGATAGATAGATAGATAGATAGATAGATAGATAGATAGATAGATAGATAGATAGATAGATAGATAGATAGATAGATAGATAGATAGATAGATAGATAGATAGATAGATGATAGATAGATAGATAGATAGATAGATAGATAGATAGATAGATAGATAGATAGATAGATAGATAGATAGATAGATAGATAGATAGATAGATAGATAGATAGATAGATAGATAGATAGATAGATAGATAGATAGATAGATAGATAGATAGATAGATAGATAGATAGATAGATAGATAGATAGATAGATAGATAGATAGATAGATAGATAGATAGATAGATAGATAGATAGATAGATAGATAGATAGATAGATAGATAGATAGATAGATAGATAGATAGATAGATAGATAGATAGATAGATAGATAGATAGATAGATAGATAGATAGATAGATAGATAGATAGATAGATAGATAGATAGATAGATAGATAGATAGATAGATAGATAGATAGATAGATAGATAGATAGATAGATAGATAGATAGATAGATAGATAGATAGATAGATAGATAGATAGATAGATAGATAGATAGATAGATAGATAGATAGATAGATAGATAGATAGATAGATAGATAGATAGATAGATAGATAGATAGATAGATAGATAGATAGATAGATAGATGATAGGACTTGGAAGGACTTTAGAACTGGGGTGATGTGCTCTACTTTCTTAGTCTTAGTGAGGACACGGGCAGCAGCGTTCTGGATCAGCTGCAGCTGTCTGATCCACTTTTTAGGCAGACCTGTGAAAACACCGTTGCAGTAATCAATTCGACTAAAAATAAACCATGGATTAGTTTTTCCAGATCATGCTGAGACATTAGTCCTTTAATCCTGGAAAATGGCGGCGAGCGTTCAGTTTCTCCTGGATGTTGATGGTTGGTTCTCGGTGGGTTTTTTTCGGCCCGCTGCTTTGATCTGACTCCTCCACACCTCTTTTTTTCTCCTCTGTTATTCTAGAAATGTTATTTCTGTCCCAGATTCTCTCTCCACTGTTAAATCGATGCCTCATTCATGTCCAAATAGCTGCAGAGATTTCTGATGAAACGCGACCAAATTAAACCATGAGGGACTTTAGATCACAGGTGGAGAAACAAAGATGGAACCCAAACCTCAGGTTTATCTTCTGGAGCTCCAATTAAGTCCAGCCTGTCTCCTTCAGGTCCTCGGTCAATAATACCACGGATGAACCAACGAGAACTTAAGCCGTAATAAAGGAGAAAATGTGGGAGCTACATGGAAGCTACTGGGGGAGCAGATTTGGAGATCCTTCAGCAGGACGGTTTCAGGGCCCAGTGGTCCAGACCAGGTCCAGACTCCTGCTTGAAGGAAACATTTTGGAGAAACTGTAATTGTGCAGGAAGCTGACTGACCTGAAGCGTCACTGGAAGCTGAACGATGTCAGAGACACAGAGACTGAAACGGTTGATCTGTTTCTGCAGCCGTCAGAAACGCATCCTGATTGGTGAATCTGAACCAGACAGACAGGAAATTTAGCTTTTTCTCTTTTTCTAAGAACAACAAGTTATTAGTAATTTCACTTCCACCAGTTTGCACCATTTTACTCTTTATATGAACTATTTCTTCTTCTATGTTCATTTTATTTCCTCTAGCTAAAAAATGAGCAATCTCCTGTCCAGGGGTGATGCTGAGAAACTAGTCCATGCATTTGTTACTTCAAGGCTGGACTATTGTAATTCTTTACTATCAGGAAGTCCACAAACTGTAGTTAAAAGCCTTCAGCTGATCCAAAATGCTGCAGCCAGAGTTCTGATGAAAATTAAAAAGAGAGATCATATCTCTCCTATCCTGGCTTCTCTTCATTGGCTTCCTGTTAAATCCAGAATAGAATTTAAAATCCTCCTTCTCACATATAAAGCCTTAAATGGCCAAGCTCCATCTGATATCAGAGATCTGATTGTTCCTTATGTTCCTAATAGAGCACTTCGCTCTCAATCTGCAGGTTTACTAGTGGTTCCTAGAATTTCTAAAAGTAGAATGGGAGGCAGATCTTTTAGTTCTCAGGCTCCAGTGGGCCTCAGCAGATGGCCGCTCACACTGAGCCTGGTTCTGCTGGAGGTTTCTTCCTGTTCAAAGGGAGTTTTTCCTCTCCACTGTCGCTACAAGCATGCTTAGTGTGAGGGATTGCTGAAGAGTCAATGAGTCGATGCAATCAGCTGGTTTTCCTTAGATAGAAAACTTTGAATCAATCTGACTGGATGATCTGGTGAACTGGAAAGTGACCTGAGATGACATGATGTGAATTGGAGCTATAGAAATAAACTGAATAAGGTTTGTAAAGCTTTACGCACAGTTAGCTTTAAAACCATTAGCTTTATGCTACACTAGCTTTATGCATCATGAGTTATATGTACTGTTGGCTTTATCCACAGTTAGCCTTATGCACATTAGCTATACACATACTTAGGTTTCGGCACAATTAGCATTATGCACAGTGAGCTTTGTGCATCATTAGCTTCATACACCATTAGCAATATTCACTGTTAGCTATGCAAACTGTTTATGCTGCTGCTATGAAGCATATGCTTTATGGAGCATATGCTTCATGTACAGTTAAGGCCAATTTATGCTTCTGACGCATTGCCTCTGCAGCCGCAAAATCTGTCTCTCAAAAAAATCCTGAGGTTTGGAAGTTCGGAAGTACAACCACTTCTACGATGCCTCAGACAAATTAAATAAATAGATATATAATTTAATCTTCGATGTCTAGCAACTCTAGATCCATCTCCGTGACCGTGATATCTTCGAGATGCGCCATTGTTGTTTTGGAAGATAAACACTCCTGCCAGCACTGCCGAAGTTCTTGCGAGTTCTTCAACAGGCTCCCCCTTTAACTTTGGCGGGAAACTGCTGAGCGTCCCTAAAAATTCCAGACCAACGCTGCAGAAGCATAGCAGCAAAATTGGTTTGCGACCAGAACCAAGCGACATTTGATGTGACATTTGAAGTAGAATGGGAGGCAGATCTTTTAGTTCTCAGGCTCCTCTCCTGTGGAACCAACTACCAGTTTTAGTCCGTGAGGCAGACACCCTGTCTACTTTTAAGGCTAGGCTTAAAACTTTCCTTTTTGATAAAGCTTCTAGTTAGAGTGGCTCAGGTTATCCTGAGCTATCTCTATAGTTCTGCTGCTATAGGCTTAGACTGCTGGAGGACATAGGGACCCCCTTTTTCATCATTCTGCTTCATTCTCTCTCTGTTCTCCCACTCTGCAGAATCTGTTAGTTCAATCTCTAACGTTCTGCTCTCTCTGCTTTTTCTCATAGTAGCTTCATCTGGTCTGTTCCTGTTTGGCACAGACCTAACGATGTCAGAAATGTTGTTTCCATCTGTGGTTGTTCTAAACAGCGTGACACATGGCGAAGTAATTTAGGCCAGGGTTTCTTGACCCTGATTTAGTCTACTTCGTGTTGTCAGACAGGTTCAGTTTCTGACTAAATTCTTACAACACTTGATCTACTTAATCACCAACAGGACTGAATATGAGCAGAATTTTAAAGCTATAATAAGAAGGAAGCCAAAATGGATCCTGCTCTTCAGCTTGTTTGGATTTTAATATTTTCTCTCCACTGTCGCTACAAGCATGCTTAGTGTGAGGGATTGCTGAAGAGTCAATGAGTCGAAGCAATCAGCTGGTTTTCCTTAGATAGAAAACTTTGAATCAATGTGACTGGATTGGAAATGTAGACTTTTTTAAAGTGCATATGTTGTTGAATTGAGGAGATAAAAGAGACATTTTGCCAACAGAACAAGATAATTTACATTTAAAATAAGAAAACACAATTGCAATGTCTTATTTCAAGAGCATATTATCTAATTATCTTATTTACCTGCTCAAAAGAATGGAGATTGTCCACTATACCTTTAATTTAGTGTGTCAGAGAAAATATTCTGTCTTTATTAATAAAATATGGATGTTGTGCTCGTTCATTTCTCTGTTGGAAAAGGTTAAATTGACCCTGAGTTTCTGGTTCCTGCTAGAATCATAAAAGCTGCTTCTGTTTCAGTCCAACAGGATCAGGATTTAAAAAATCAAATATCTGATCATTTTTATGAATCAGTTCTGTTTTTTTTCTCATAATCAGGAAGTCTGTCTTCATCAAACTTTGGATTAACTAAAAAAAACAGAAAGCTGGAAGGTTAGAGGATCTAATCCCTTCCCAAAAACTCAACACAAACTTTGGGGAAGTTTTTCAGTTAGCCCGGCCCATCTGGAGCAGCAAATGGCTCAGCGCACCAGGGAGGGGGGAGGGAGGAGGAGAAGAGGGGAGGAGGAGAAGAGGGGGAGGGAACCGGATTGAAAACAGATCAGCAGAGCCGCAGGTCTGTAAAGCAGAGCCAGAGGTCCAACCGGAGGCGCATGATGCGTGTTTGGTGAAAGACGCGCAGAGCTGGATGCGCTCCTCCTGCGCAACATGGATGACTGCGGAACGAAGCCTGGAGCCGCTGCCTGTGTCTCTGCTGCGGGACGCGCTGAGCTCCTGCTCTGAAACTGCTGCCATAACTTTCCCAGCTCCCTCCATGGAGCCTCCAGCGCGCCGCTGAGAAAACTTCCCGACTTTCCTCCAAACGCAAAGTTAGAAAGAAGGAAGAAAAGGAACGAAGAAGCTGGAAAAGGTAAGAAAATCAAAACTTTTCTGCTCCTCTTCATCAGATCAGACTTTAGAAAAGCGGAACTTATCTGAGACAAGAATCCTAAAAATGTTCCTCCTGCAACCTGATCCATGAGGGGGGGGGGGGGGTCTCAGATTTCTGCTTAAACTTTTTATTAGATTCGTTTCATTTTCTGCGACGATGAGGAAAATCAAACTAGATCTATATCAGAGCTGCTTTCTGTCCGCAGAGACAGAATCTAGAAAAGTTCCTCACTGGACCAGAGAGACAGCAGAGGACATCAGGCTGTAGGACATCAGGCTGTAAGACATCAGACTGTAAGACATCAGGCTGTAAGACATCAGACTGTAGGACATCAGGCTGTAAGACATCAGGCTGTAAGACATCAGACTGTAGGACATCAGGCTGTAGGACATCTGGCTGTAAGACATCAGACTTTAAGACATCAGGCTGTAGGACATCAGGCTGTAAGACATCAGACTGTAGGACATCAGGCTGTAAGACATCAGACTGTAGGACCTCAGACTGTAGGACATCAGGCTGTAAGACATCAGACTGTAGGACATCAGGCTGTAAGACATCAGACTGTAGGACCTCAGACTTTAAGACATCAGACTGTAGGACATCAGGCTGTAAGACATCAGGCTGTAAGATATCAGGCTGTAGGACATCAGGCTGTAAGACATCAGACTGTAGGACATCAGGCTGTAGGACATCTGGCTGTAAGACATCAGACTTTAAGACATCAGGCTGTAGGACATCAGGCTGTAAGACATCAGACTGTAGGACATCAGGCTGTAAGACATCAGACTGTAGGACCTCAGACTGTAGGACATCAGGCTGTAAGACATCAGACTGTAGGACATCAGGCTGTAAGACATCAGACTGTAGGACCTCAGACTTTAAGACATCAGACTGTAGGACATCAGGCTGTAAGACATCAGGCTGTAAGACATCAGACTGTAGGACCTCAGGCTGTAAGACATCAGACTGTAAGACATCAGGCTGTAGGACATCAGGCTGTAAGACATCAGGCTGTAGGACATCAGGCTGTAGGACATCAGGCTGTAAGACATCAGACTGTAAGACATCAGGCTGTAAGATATCAGGCTGTAGGACATCAGGCTGTAAGACATCAGACTTTAAGACATCAGGCTGTAGGACATCAGGCTGTAAGACATCAGACTGTAGGACATCAGGCTGTAAGACATCAGACTGTAGGACCTCAGACTGTAGGACATCAGGCTGTAAGACATCAGACTGTAGGACATCAGGCTGTAAGACATCAGACTGTAGGACCTCAGACTTTAAGACATCAGACTGTAGGACATCAGGCTGTAAGACATCAGGCTGTAGGACATCAGGCTGTAGGACATCAGGCTGTAAGACATCAGGCTGTAGGACATCAGGCTGTAAGACATCAGGCTGTAAGACATCAGGCTGTAGGACATCAGGCTGTAGGACATCAGGCTGTAAGACATCAGACTGTAAGACATCAGGCTGTAGGACATCAGGCTGTAAGACATCAGGCTGTAGGACATCAGGCTGTAGGACATCAGGCTGTAAGACATCAGACTGTAAGACATCAGGCTGTAAGATATCAGGCTGTAGGACATCAGGCTGTAAGACATCAGACTTTAAGACATCAGGCTGTAGGACATCAGGCTGTAAGACATCAGACTGTAGGACATCAGGCTGTAAGACATCAGACTGTAGGACCTCAGACTGTAGGACATCAGGCTGTAAGACATCAGACTGTAGGACATCAGGCTGTAGGACATCAGACTGTAGGACATCAGGCTGTAAGACATCAGACTGTAGGACATCAGGCTGTAGGACATCAGACTGTAGGACCTCAGACTTTAAGACATCAGACTGTAGGACATCAGGCTGTAAGACATCAGGCTGTAAGACATCAGACTGTAGGACCTCAGGCTTTAGGACATCAGGCTGTAAGACATCAGACTGCAGGACCTCAGACTTTAAGACATCAGACTGTAGGACATCAGGCTGTAAGACATCAGGCTGTAAGACATCAGACTGTAGGACATCAGGCTGTAAGACATCAGACTGTAGGACCTCAGACTTTAAGACATCAGGCTGTAGGACATCAGGCTGTAAGATATCAGACTGTAGGACCTCAGACTTTAAGACATCAGACTGTAGGACATCAGGCTGTAAGACATCAGACTGTAGGACCTCAGACTTTAAGACATCAGACTGTAGGACATCAGGCTGTAAGACATCAGACTGTAAGACATCAGGCTGTAAGACATCAGGCTGTAGGACATCAGGCTGTAAGATATCAGGCTGTAGGACATCAGGCTGTAAGACATCAGACTTTAAGACATCAGGCTGTAGGACATCAGGCTGTAAGACATCAGACTGTAGGACATCAGGCTGTAAGACATCAGACTGTAGGACCTCAGACTGTAGGACATCAGGCTGTAAGACATCAGACTGTAGGACATCAGACTGTAGGACCTCAGACTTTAAGACATCAGACTGTAGGACATCAGGCTGTAAGACATCAGGCTGTAAGACATCAGACTGTAGGACCTCAGGCTGTAAGACATCAGGCTGTAAGACATCAGACTGTAGGACCTCAGGCTTTAGGACATCAGGCTGTAAGACATCAGACTGCAGGACCTCAGACTTTAAGACATCAGACTGTAGGACATCAGGCTGTAAGACATCAGGCTGTAAGACATCAGACTGTAGGACATCAGGCTGTAAGACATCAGACTGTAGGACCTCAGACTTTAAGACATCAGACTGTAGGACATCAGGCTGTAGGACATCAGGCTGTAAGACATCAAATGGGACATACTCTGGGGCATATTGTAGGACATATTGCTTGAGTGCTTTGGGACGTGCAGTGGGACAAATGGGACTTATTTTGGGGAATATTGCAAGACATGCTGTGGGATGTGCTTTGAGACACATTGGAGGACATGGTGTTGGACACAGTTGAGGACATGGTGTTGGACACATTGGAGGACATGGTGTTGGACACATTGGAGGACATGTTGTTAGACATTGTGCTGTGGAAGATACTGAGGAAATATTTCTTGGCATAGGTTGGGATGGCTGTGGGACATTTTGCTCAACAAGCCGTGCTGCAGGTCAGCAATGGGATGATTGGCAGGTAGGGTTGGTCACCAGCAATCGATAATCGATCAATATCGGTTCCTAACTTTCAATTTTATTGGTATCGTTTAGAGAACTGACAAGTTGAGACGTTTAAGGAACCCAACCGTCTTTGACCCGCTGCACCGTGTTATGCAGCTTCTACAGGAAGAACTTTCCCTTTTTTAGATTTTCTTATTTTACTCGTGCTCTTTGATCTAAATCTGCCGATATTATGAGTTATTTTAAGCAAAACTTTATCCATTGTTTATTTTAGCTCAACCGTTCCTCTGTCCATGAAGGTAAAACACAACTCTAACTTTACTTCTATGTCTAGTGGAGTTTAGCTGAGTGAAGAATGCTGAGGATATAAACTCTGTCAGGATGCCTTCCTGCTGTGGTGCGTTCACCTCCAGCTCAGCCTCAAACTGCACCGCAGTCAGAATTAGGGAAATAAAACGATAAAACTGCAGCATCAAACACTGGAAAATGTTTTTTAATTAAGTTTTATAAAAAGAAAGCTTCATGTAAAAGAAAAATCATAAGATCATATCAGACTTCAGACTTTGAATGCTGGTTAAAAATAACTCTGTAAATGTACAGTAATGTTCACACAAATTTAAAAGTGCAAGGAAATCAATTTCATTAGGACTATTTCATCCAGACATGATTTATAACATAGAAGCTTTAATGATCCTTCAACTAAAAGGAATCAGAATCAAAAGGAATCAGAATCAAAAGGAAGCGGAATCGTTCAAACTCAAACAGCCAAACCCTGAGGCGTATTGCAGGACTCGCTGTTGGACTCCTAGTTGGACTTGCTGTTGGACTGGCTGTTAGACTCGCTGTTGGACTCGCTGTGGGTCTCGCTGTGGGACTCGCTGTTAGCCTCGCTGTTGGACTCTCTGTTGGACTCGCTGTTAGACTCGCTGTTAGACTCGCTGTTGGACTCGCTGTTGGACTCTCTGTTGGACTCGCTGTTAGACTCGCTGTTAGACTCGCTGTTGGACTCGCTGTTGGACTCGCTGTGGGACTCGCTGTTAGACTCTCTGTTAGACTCTCTGTTGGACTCGCTGTGGGACTCGCTGTGGGACTCGCTTTGGGACTCGCTGTGGGACTCGCTGTTAGCCTCGCTGTTGGACTCTCTGTTGGACTCGCTGTTAGACTCGCTGTTAGACTCGCTGTTGGACTCGCTGTGGGACTCGCTGTTAGACTCTCTGTTAGACTCTCTGTTGGACTCGCTGTTAGACTCTCTGTTAGACTCTCTGTTGGACTCGCTGTGGGACTCGCTGTTAGACTCTCTGTTAGACTCTCTGTTGGACTCGCTGTGGGACTCGCTGTGGGACTCGCTGTTGGACTCGCTGTGGGACTCGCTGTTAGACTCTCTGTTGGACTCGCTGTGGGACTCGCTGTGGGACTCGCTGTTAGACTCTCTGTTAGACTCTCTGTTGGACTCGCTGTGGGACTCGCTGTTAGACTCTCTGTTAGACTCTCTGTTGGACTCGCTGTGGGACTCGCTGTTGGACTCGCTGTGGGACTCGCTGTTAGACTCTCTGTTGGACTCGCTGTGGGACTCGCTGTGGGACGTGTGTACTCTTTGAAGGCTTGTAAGTCAGCTGTTTGCTCTGCAGCCTGAGCAGTCAACAAACACTTGACGCCTTTGTTTGGCCCTTTAGCACCAATATTTGCTGTTGGCTTTTTTCCCGTCTAACATGAGCTGCTAATGATCTCCAAACTGCGGCGCGTCTTCAGCCGGTCTGGGCCGAAGCAGCCATGAAGACGAAGCCGTTTCTATGTCTGTTGGAAGGTGCTGCAGATGTGGAAAAGCTTCCTGAATCTCTGTGGAAAGGGTTGAGATGTGATGAGTGTGTTCT